CCAGCCAGCATTGCTATAGGCGGACTTCAACTCCCAGAATTCCCCAGTCAGCATTGCTGGCTGGGGAATTCTGGGAGTTGAAGTCCGCTTATCTTCCAAGTTCCCAAGTTTGGGGGAAAAAAAAAAACTGATATAGATTAGGGGTCCCTAACCCGTGGGCCACATGAGTGGCTGGCCAGTGCATGTGTGTGTGCATGCCTGCACCCTTTCCCCACTCGCGCTAGCGTCGTGCCAACACTAGTGATGCCGCAAGCATCGTGCGAGAGCTAGCAATGCTAGCACGAATGAAAGTGTGCGCTCACAGCATCTCCTGAGAGTTGCTCAGGCGCTCGTGGCCTCATTTGCACTGCATGCACAACCCAGTTCATGTGCACACTCGCGGCCCTGTGCACGCATGCATAAAGGCGCCTCCATCACCACCCCGCCTTGGGCAGCCAACCCAGAAAGATTGGCGACCCCTGATATAGCTCATAGCACATATGACAGCCATTTTGTGACCAGGCAAACTCCTCCCTCCACAGACCCTCCCCCTGTGAACCTAGTGTGCCATCACTCAGCTTCAGACATGCCCTGTGTTTTTCTCCTTCCTTGCAGGTCCATATCAAAACCATGCCAGCCTCCACTTATCGTCTTTTAACTGGCCAGGAGCAACCCATCTTCCTCTGATGGTTCTGCCTTGGCCAATGGCTTCTGGTATCTGCTTCCTAAGCTTGTTGCACTTCCAAATCGGAAGCCGGCCTCTGGGCTCAGATTCACAAGAGCTTTGGGACTGTTTCTGCTGCACGAACCATCCAGCCAAGTTTGTTGTTGGTTTTCTTTGCTGGGGACATTTATCTGGGGTGTGAACTTGGAAGTTATGCCTATTGCTTGAGGTTGGCTTCTACACTAGAAAGCAAGAGATTGAACCATACGATACTGTACTGTTCCTGACCTAGAATTGATGGGTTAGACTCTACCACTTGCAGGGGAGACCTGAACTCAAGTCGGTGGATTAGACTCTACCATTTGCAGGGGAGACCAGAACCAAAGTGGGTGGATTAGACTCTATCATTTGCAGGGCAGACCTGAATTAAAGTAGATGGATTACACTTGCAGGGGACACCTGAACCAAAGTGGGTGGATTAGACTGTACCACTCCCAGGGAAGACCTGAATTAAAGTAGATGGATTAGACTGTACCACTTTCAGGGGAGACCTGAACTAAAGTGGGTGGATTAGACTACCACTTCCAGGGGAGAAGAATGGTGTAGGGTGGGAAGAATTCCTTATTATGATTTTTTTTAAGTTCTAAAGATTTCAAAGCAGGTGGACAAAAGCTTTCATATTTTCCAAGGTGTTCCTTTTTTACACATTTTACATTTCTTAAGGGAAATATGAAAATATAGCATTTGGTAAATACTCTTTGAGGTGGTTCAGTCCAGAATCAGGTTGCGACATCATTGTCAAGATCTCCCAGGAAAATTACAAGATTGGGCCCAGCAAGATTAGGGGTACAGGAGAAAATCTACCCTATTCTCTCTGGCTGTGTGGGATCCTACTCCCAAAATTCATTTCTGCAGTCATACAAGTCTGGCCTTTGCTATTAGAAATCGAAGCAAACTCTCCTGGTGTCTGGACTTCAACATATTGCTGACAATTCTATAAGTTGCTTTGAAGCTACTGTATGAATTTTTTAAAAAATTTACACTACTAATACAAACTTGGAAATGACCAAAATACTAAAATTATTTCCCAAAACAGATCAGAGAGGGAGCGAAAGTGAGACTAAGTGCTTTTTTAAAAATTGTATTCTCTGCACACCAAAGATGAGATAAATAAATATTATTTGCTTTTTAAAAGCATCTTCTTGCTCTCACTTGAGAATGGGAAGAGTTGTAAGAGTTGACACCTTTTGGCAAGACAATCCATGTTAAGCAGCTTTAACTGCTCAGGCAGCTGAAGGTTGAACTTGTTTTGTAAATGTTAAAATAGCAGAATTGCAAACGTCTCTCCAAAGCTTTCAGGAATGTCTAGAAAGTCTTAGAAACTGTATTAAGTTCTGGTTTGTTTTACTGTATGTGCTAAGCCTGGGTCAGCAGCATTCATGTCCTGGCTCCCAGTTCCAAAAATAATAATAAAATTAAAATCCACTGTGTTGTGTTTGCATTCTTGTCCATATTTTCTTGTGAAATTTAGGTGATTTTGTAGAATTCTAGTTTTTCTTTTTTTCCCTAGGACTATTATCTTGGAGTCTGGCGGGTTGCTGACCTCTTTGTTAAGTAATAAACCATGGTTAAAAATGGCTGAATTCACACATTGCTGTGTGGTGACCTAAGGCAAATTAGCCTGCGTTGTTTGAACTCTTATGCTTCAAATTCAAATTCCTGATAATATTCAATTATTTTAACACATTGGAAGAATGGTTTCCTTTCCCACCTCAAAAGCCTCAGAGCCACTGATGCAATTTGTATAGGTTTTGCATGCGTGCAAACTGAGGAGAGTCACTGATGCAACACCACCGCTGTTTTCAAATGCTAATTGGCATTGGGTTTTGCAACACACCCCCTCCTTTGCAAGCTTCTGTCAAGAGGAAACGGTGTGCTTCTCCCTGTATTTGGGTAGACCAGGTTGTCCTGAGAGAAAAAACAGTTCTGTCAAGAGGTTTACCTCACAAGGCTGCTGCTTGAGAAACAACCATAAAAGAGGACCTGACCTGGGGTGCTCACATTGCAGCACTGGTCAAAGGGGCCCAGCAGAGATTATACTACCCGAGACTTCTCAGAAAACAGCAACTCAATGAAAAACTGCTGGTGACCTTCTACCGCCGCACCATAGAGAGTATCTTAACTTACTGCACCTCTGTATGGTTTGCCAATTGCACAGTGGCAGATAGGAAAGCACTCCAGAGGGTTAATGTCATTGCCCAGAGGATCATGGGTTGCCCTCTCCCCTCTTTGGAAGAGCTTTATAGCTCCTGCTGCCTTCAGAAAGTTCAAAACATTCTCAAAGATCCATCTCATCCTGGACATCCTTTTTTTTAAAAAAAACTATTACTATCTAGCGGATGGTACAGGATAATAAAAACATTTTTTTTTACTACTGGTTCTGTGGGCATGGCTTGGTGGGCGTGGCAGGGGAAGGATAAAATCTCCATTCCCTCCCCACCCCACTAACCTGCTTTCCAGCTCCATTCTCCTGTGCAGGGCAACCAAAGAAGATCCAGCCAATCAGCTGGGACTCAGAGAATAGAAGGGGGCGGGGCTAGTCAGAGGTGGTATTTGCAGGTTCTTCAAACTACTCAAAATGTCCGCTACGGTTCTCCAGAACCTGTCAGAATTGGCTGAATACCACCTCTGCTGCCAAGATTGAAAAACACTCCCTCGGACTGCCTGAACGGATTTGAGCATTTGCAAAAAGCAAGTATTGTTCATTGCCAGGCTATTGTTTAAACTAACAAGGAGATAACAAAATATCTTGCTTTTTTTTTCCCCCTTCCAAACCAGCGAGTCAGTCAGCATCCCACATTTGGTCTTCTTCTCTGTGAAGATCCTCGTAAACGTAGCTGAAAAGGAATGCTTTAATGATACAAAAGGCACAAATGATGGACGGGCAAGCCACAGCTCCTCCTCCATCTTCACTCATCACATATGGAGAAGATTGTCACGTACATTAAGGCAATACATCAGATTCCCTCATCCCAGGCTGCTCCTTGTCAACGGGCGCACAAAAACGCAAAAGGGAAGAGAAATCCCAAAGGGAAGTTACACAGATTTTAAAAAGTAATTAAATATGCTTAATACTCTTGTCATATTTTTTTGATTAAAAAGGCAGAATTAAATCACCCTCTCTGACTACCACATTGCAAATTATAAAAGGGAGTTATAAAATCGTAGGGAACCAGAACAATACTGCCCCTAATAAAGTTTATGCCAACTTTTGACCCTAATGGGCAAGCTCCATTACGGTCATAACTCGAGGACTGTCTGTACTATAAATGTGTAGCCTCCCAATTGAACTTTTTTTAAAAAAAAAGCTGAATCATGAAGATTGAATGAGATTTTGGAGTTGTATAGTAGTCAAAATTGGCAATCTCGTGAATTTTCGGCCTTAATTTGTGGTTGTGTGAGATTATATAGCTTAGGCCTGAGGTGAAAGGGTGAGGAAGGGGCTCTTGACTGCCAAGTAGGGAGCCATATTAGCTGGTGATTATACGCAAGGGGAAAGATTTAAAAAGATAAAACACGGAGTGTGGTTTGTAAGCAAAAATAGTCCTCTTTGGTGGGGAAAGGCAATATGTGAGGTGTAGATTTAAAATTCTTGAGACAATCCTCAACTTTGTGAATGATGGTTTCTTAAAAGTATTGTGTATCAAGTTAAAAACATGAGGTGGAAGTTCTCCGCCTCACTTGAAGTATAAAAGTGGCCTAATGACACTGTGTATAGTATTCCTCCATCTTGGCAACTTGAAGATATCTAGACTTCAACTCCCAGAATTCCCCAACTAGCAGAGCTGGCTGGGGAATTCTGGGAGTCAAAGTCCAGACATCTTCAAGTTGTTACGGTTGAGAAACATTGATGTATTTGCAGCTTGAAGCTTCTTATTCTGGTTAAATGGATCCAGAATGACATTAAAATGGTGGTAAAGTCCTCCCGGGCCATATTATGAGCTTGTTGAGATGACCAGTGAAAATCCTTGATCTTGAGCAAAGGGCAGTAGTAACTTGAATGCACCAGATATCCATCCAGCTTGAGATGAAATTGCCCAAAGAAAGGACGGTGGAGAAGTTCAACTGAAGACCTAACTTCCATCCAAGGTGGCATGTTCCTCCTGGCTGCTCTGGGATGTCCCCAACTTAAGGCAAGACAGTGAAATAGGAAAAATCACATTCCCAGAACAAGCACACGAGGACCTCCAGCCGTTGCAAATCTTGCCCTATCCCCCATGTTTTTAGCGCTCTATAGGAGAATCAAAGGCCTCAGAAGGGTGCCAGCAAAATTGGAATGACAAGGCCAGCTTTGCACGGCCATCCACGTAAGTTGCAGGCGGCCAACGTAGCTGCTGGCATGGTCACAGGTCTGTGGCAGGTCCCCAGTCGTAACCATAGTCCTGGTCTGACTCAGAGTCGTAAGTCTGTGCATGGGTGAACTTCTGCCGCAGCGCTTCATGTTCGTATTCCCTGACAAAGAGATGGCAAAGTTGTAAATCAATGCACTGCACAGATTTTACATAGGCACATTAAATAGGTTGCATTAATAGAGGGATAGACCTGTATACTGCATGAGTCAAAAAGAGGGTTGTGAAAATATCTACTGACTCCCTCACATCCTGGACATAAACTGTTTCAACTCCTACCCTCAGAACGACGCTGTAGAGCACTGCACACCAGAACAACTAGACACAAGGACAGTTTTCCTCCGAACGCCATTACTCTGCTAAACAAATAATCCCCTTAACACTGTCCAACTATTTACTAATTCTGCATTACTATTACTATTAATCCTCCCATCCTTCCTTTCACCCATCTCCTCCCACTTGTGACTGTATGACTGTAACTTTGTCTCTTGTACTCTTACGATTTTTACTGACTGTTTCCTAGTATGATTTGATTGCTTATTGTACCCTATGACTATCATTAAGTGTTGTACCTGATGATTCTTGACTCTTGACGAATGTACTGTATCTTTTCTTTTTATGTACACTTTCTTTTTATGTGCATTTGCACCAAGACAAATTCCTTGTGTGTCCAATCATACTTGGCCACATACTTGGTCGGTCTGTCTGTCTGTCTGTCTGTCTATCTATCTATCTATCTATCTATCTATCTATCTATCTATCTATCTATC